TGGCCTCATGAAAGGCAGTGATTCAGCAGCTTACAATAGATGGCTGACGGAGCAGAACTCAGTTTCTGATACTCTTCTCTTGAGGGGAGTAATTTCAAATTTGGGACAATGGAAGACTTTTTTTCCCCTGCTAGTGCTTTCAAAAAGGGCCAGTGACAAACCTGTAGATTGGAAAAAAAATAAAATAAAATAAAATAAATTATTGTTTTTTGGTTTAATTGGATTTTGATCTTTTGCTCCAAGATGCTCAGAGAAAATCTCTCAATGATAAGATAGAAAGAGTAAATTATTTCAGCAATATCACTTCTCTTTTGAAAGTAGAAATTTGGCATTGATTTTAAGACTAGACTGACAAATATTTGGAGCTTCAAAGTTGCCACTGACCAATTTGGCAGAATTCTTTCTTTCTTTCTTTCTTTTGTCTGTCATGGAGCTTGAACTCTGGGCCTGTGTGCTGTCCGTGAGCTCTTCAGCTCAAGACTAGCTCTCTATTACTTGAGCCATAGTGCTACTTTTGGTTTTCTGGTGCTTAATTGGAGATAAGAGTCTCATGGACTTTCCTGCCCAGGCTGGCTTTGAACCACGATCCTCAGATTTCAGCCTTCTGAGTAGCTAGGATTACAGGCGTGAGCCACCAGTGCCTGGCTAAGAGTTCTTTAATTATGTTGTCTTTACATAATAAAGATACTAAAATGCCAACTTAAAGTTAGAAACTTGATCAAATGAGAGAGGTAGTAAAACAGGGAATATAATGCTAGAAGATTAGAGACATGGTTTAGGATTAGAATATCTGCTTAGAAGTGTAAAGTCCTCAGTTCAAAGTCCAATACTGCCCCAAATATTCCCCCAGAAAAAAACAAAAGAAACAGAAAATATTAGAAACATCTAAGACTAGGAAAGGGCCAAATTCTTTAATTAAAAAAGCAGGACATAATGACTTACCAGGCAGATACCAGAAAAAGAACAGTTGAATAGAAACATAGGTGTCCAGGCTGGTGACTCACATCTGTAATCCTAAATTACTCAGGAGGTTGAGATCTAAGGATCAAGGTTTAAAGCCAGCCAAGGCAAAGAAGTCTATGAGACTCTTAACTCCAATTAGCCAGCAAAATGCCAGAAATGGAAGTGGGCTTAAATATTAGACTCACACATACCGAAGAGAGAGAGAGAGAGAGAGAGAGAGAAAACAAGCATGGGTGTCTGGAACAAAAGGATGTGAATAACTATACCATGCTTACAAAAAGCAATTGGTCCAAATATCAGTTTGATAAAGTTTAACAACTTAAAGTTTAATTTTTTTTTTTGATGCTGGTTCTGGGTCTAAGAACTCAGGCCTGGGCACTGTCCCTGAGATTTTTTTTCTCAGGGTTAGCACTCTACTATATGAGTCCCACTTCTGGAGTTTTATTTATTTTTTGCCAGTCCTGGGCTTGAACTCAGGGCCTTGGCGCTGTCCCTCAGCTTTTTTGTGTTTCAGGCTTGCACTCTACCATTTGAGCCACAGCTCTACTTTTGGCTTTTTGGTCATTAATCAGATATGAGTCTCAAGAATTTTCCAGCCCAGACTGGCTTCAAACTGATATCCTCATTTCTCAGCCTCCTGAATAGCTATATTACAAGCATAAGCCACCAGCAGCCAGCAAAGTTTGTTAATTTTAAGTGCTGTTGAGAGTATAGAGGAATAAATGATGATTGGCTTAGCTTGTATGAGGAAATTTTGATGTGTCTATCCAAACTAAAAGGCCAGATTAAATATCATATGCAGTTTTGTTTAGACTCCCCACTTAGTGATGTTTCCTTATAGATACACTTACAAAAGTGAGTCAAGCAAAACTATAAAACTGATAGCAAAGGCTTTCAAAACAAAGTAATGAAATTTCCATAACTGGGTGATTGGTTAAATAACTCTGCAGCAGGATGCTAAGTATAGTAGACTATCGAGTTAGTATAAAGTAGAATTGTTTAAATGAGGCAGATCTATAAGTGCTGATATGAGAAATTGTCTCTGAAAACACAGCACTTTTTAAATGAATTAAGAGAACTAAGATAATTTAATTTTTGGGAAAGTGGTTGTGTTCTTTGGTATTTTTTAAATTTCTTAATCTTATATGAACTTATGTATTTATCATAGCAAAAGTAATTACATGAGTGTTGGTTCTTGGAACAATTTTCTGTTTTCTTTGTAAATCCCTTTCTTAAAAAAATGTTATAATGTGGGGCTGGGAAGGTGGCTTGACTGCTTGCCTTCCATGCATGTGGCCATGGGTTTGATTCCTCAGCACCACATAAGCAGAAAAAGCCGAAAGTGGCCCTGTGGCTCAAGGGGTAGAGTGCTAGCCTTGAGCTGAAGAGCTGAGGGACAGCACCCAGGACTAGAGTACAGGCAAAAACATGACCGGCAAAAACAAAAAAAAAGTTATAATGTGCCATTAAAAATGGAAAAGAAAAAAATGGAAAAGAGCCAGGTACCAGTGGCTCATACCTATAATCCTAGCTAGCTAAGTGGTTGAAATCTTTGGATCACAGTTTGAAGCCAGCCTGGATAGGAAAGTTCATGAGACTCTTATCTCCAATTAACCACCAAAAAACTGGAAGTGGAGATGTGGCTCAAGTAGTAGAATTCTAGCCTTGAGCACAAAGGAGTTCAGGGACAGCACCTGGGCCCTGAGTTCAAGGAACCAGGACAGACACAGACACAGACATACATACATAGACACACAGGAAAAGAATAAAGCATAAACAACAAATTCATTTTTCTTAATTGTATCAAATGTTTCATGTTTTCTAGGCTGCATATTTTACTTTCAGTCAAAATTAATGATGGCATCTTCCCCCGTCACCTGCCTGTCCCAATCTTGCCATAAGTATATTAAATTTCTATAGAGAGTGACCTAACTGACTTAAACGGTAGCCTCTGGAGTGTCCTTGAGCTTTCTGGTTACAGTATGATCCCTTGGGCCAGAGGGTATCCTCCATTAGCCATTTCCCCCCACTATCAGCATGTGCTGTGTTGGGTTTCAGTGCTTGGTAAGAGAACTTTTTAATCATGGTGCATTTTCTGACACAAGGACTACTTCCTCAAGAATGATTTCAGGCAGGGTGGTATCGTTTCTTCTGTAATCACACTGGGGACTGAAATGCTCTTCCACCTGTGTGTGTTTTGGTGGTTTTGGGCCTCACACTCACCTAGTCACATTGAGATTTGCTCACTGCACTTCAGAGGCAAAGATGACAATGGAGGGCTATGGCAACCACAGCATAAGAAGACAAAGAAGCCGGAAGTCACTTTAGTTCAAAGCATTGTACAGTTCAAAACAGGCAGATAGCCACTTCAGTGTCAGACCGAGCATTCCTTCACTTGCTGATTTGTAGGCATTCTAAACAAATTTATCTAATGCATTACTTGTTTTGTACCTGGTTTTCTTATTTATTATTTATCAAATAATAGGGAATTAAGTTAATAAAGGAATATTATAAACGAGATTACAAGTGAAAAATGATGACAGTCTACATTCTATGATAGTTAAGGATTTTCTATTAAGGTTTCATTGATTATACTCTTTAGACAGTGTTTCTTCCCCAAATAAATTTGTGTCAATGTAAGTGCTCTTTCTTTTAACTTTGAAGATTCAGGATTAGAGCTATGGATAGGGCTTACTTGTTTACTATGTGTAAGGTCCTGGATTTGATCCTGAGCACCTCAGTAAGTAAATATCAAACAGGCAAATAAGTAATGAATTTTAAAAGAGAAAAAAATAAAACTCAATTTACACAAATTGTTGCATATCTTTGGGATAACTTTTTTTAAAATATTTAGATTAACTTTTAATAAAGTTATGAAACTTTAAAAGTATTTTAAAAGGGATCTTCTTTTTTATTTTTATTTTATTTTATTTTATTTGTGAAGATACTGTACAGAGGAGTTACAATTACATGGGCAGGATAATGCGTACATTTCTTACCAAGCATTGCAGCCTCCTCCTTTTGTTTACCCTTCACATCCCTTCCCAGCCTCCCCCCTCCCCCCAATCCCAATCTTTCTCCTTCCCCCCCTTCCCCCCCACACCAACGTTGTAAAGCTCGTTTTTGACATGACAACTTATACTTCTCATTGTTGCAACAGGTCCACCTGTATCTTTAAACAACTGGTTTTTCCCCATCTCCTCCTCAAGTTATACTGACATCAAATATAGTGAAAGCAGGGGTTATACTGTGGGGGAGGGACATACAAAGCAACAAAGAGATAATCTTATAAATGCATTAGAAACACATGCATGAAAGAAAAAAACATTAAGATACATATCTAAGGGTTCATTTTCCTGACATCATGGGATAACTTTTTTGAAGGGCTTGTTTCAGGAGATTTTACTCCAATAATCATAGCTATAGGAATTGATTCCCAACCTCAATGAATTGATTAAAAAATTATGTAAACACCACATACATTCCCTGCTAGAAGCTTGGGTATATACCATGTTGGCCTGTTCACTGGGTAGTAATGTTTTGTCATCATTGAGGTGATAGCTGTGGTTGTCATGTGACAATTCTGAGGAATACTTGGGAAGTGAATGTCAGTGAGAAGTGGATGAAAGTGGATGGAAAATATGGGAATGTCAAATGAGTTAGAAACAGAAAAATAGTTGATTTGTTAAGTGTAGAATTTAGGGGAAAATTCTTTCTTTCACTTCTGTAATGTCATCAGTTCTGCATTCAAGAAAAAAAAGAGAGGAGCAAATGGCAGGGCTAGCAGAAGGAGGCAAGCAGATGACCCAGTCATGGATCTGGGCATGGGGAGGGAGCTGAGACTTCTCAGCATCATCTCACTGGTTGTTCTGGGAAACACATAGGAGGGATAACAGTGACCTCCTCTACAGGAAGACTTGCCTGCCTTGTCCCCCGTCCTTCCAAAGATGGAAATATTAGAATACTTCACAAAAATTTATTGGTGTCTTCTTTCTTTTCTTAAAAATTATTGATTTGTTTTGAATGAATATCCACAGGTCCTGTCCCTTGCTGAGTTCTTCTGGCCATGCATTCTGTTCATGATTCTGGTGGTACTTCGGTTTCAAGAACCTCCCAGGCACAGAGACACTTGTAAGTCACTTGGAACACAGGGATCACACGCCTGTAGAGAAAAAAAAAATATAGCACTCTTCTTTGAGTAAAATGAATGGACAGGATTCCATTTGGCAATGGCAATATATCTGAGTTAAGTCCAATAAGAAGCTTTTTACATTCCCCCCCCCCCGCCCTTTAGGAATCGAAGTTGCACTGTATTTAAAACTTTTATCTAAACTTAAAACCTCCCAACTTTTTAAAAGAATCAGATGGGAACAAACACCTGTTTTCATTCTTCCCATTCATGGCTGATCTGCAGAGGGCTGGGTCAGGCATGGCGGTGTAATGGAGCAGTTGCCACTCTATGATCAGGGAAGCTAGACATATAGAAAGTTACTGCTACCATAGCCAGTCTTCCTGGAGGTGTGAGTGCAGTGCTGGGGAGGAGGGATAAAGCATAAAGGCTTGTGTTTGGGAATTGATTACTCAGATATCTTTTAAATTAATAACAGCATAAGTGATCCAAATAATTTGATATTACTCATTAAGGCTCTGTGCAGTAGGTATTCTCCTTCTGGTAGCAGGAGTATGAACTCATTTCTGCCTTCCATCCTTCACAAGGTTACCTGCAGCCACGGGACTTGCCCAACCAGGGTGTTCTGCCCTTTGTCCAAGGACTCCTTTGTAACACGGGGTCAAGCTGCAGGAACTTCAGCTTTGAAGATTCCATGGCTCACCACTTTCGGTAAGTGAAACCTAAACATCCTTTTCAGAAATCCTGGGGTGCTGGTGGTCAGAGCAAGACCCCTATTTTAGCAAAGCCTTAATAACTTGGATCAGCTCAGGGATCATGTACAAGAACTTGGATCCACAGAAAATCAGTTTTTATTCATCTCAGATGGAAATCCTATGTAGTGACTCCAATACTGGCCATCTCCGCAACGATGGCTTGCTCCTGTATTTGGAGCACCATAGAATTAACAGTGATGAGAGATTGCCATTTGCATTCAATAGCTTTTTTTATATTAACTTTTGACATCAGGATGACTTGCCTAGACATTTTTGTTGTCATATACTTATAATATGAATGTTTTGTGGGGGCTATCTACTGAGCTTTATCTTTTGTGCTATGAGTTGACCAGGATCCATTCCAGGTTGAAATAAAATATATCAGTCACTCTTTCTTCGCTATGCCTACCTGGACTTCGTGGTGGTTAAGGTTCCTTCTCTAGTTCTGTCTCTACTATGCTAAGGGTGTCCTTAGAATTAGTTGGTGAAAATGGAGAGGAATTGTTTCACAGAAGAAGTATCAGAAGGTTTAACATGGTAGTTCTGGAATGTTCTGTAAACTTCTACGTGTAGTTCAGAAGGGAAGAGAATTGATAGTTGATCATGATAGTTGAATTTATTAACTATTAATAATTCGAGTTTAGCTCTATCCACATTTTCTGGTATTAAACAATACTAGAAGAAATTTAAATATAAAGCTAATATTAAAATATAAGAAGTTTTTTTTCAACTTCAAGTTACAAGAAGAAAACACAAAGCTTCCAGATAATTGGAGCATAAGTAATATAATTTTTTTGTTTTTTTTGGGGGGTGGGGGTCCAGTCGTGGGGCTTGAACTCGGCCTGGGCGCTGTTCCTCAGCTCTTCAGCTCAAGGCTAGCACTCTACCACTGAGCCACCTTCCCAGCCCCAAGTAATATAATGTTTATAAGTGATCTTAGACTGTTTGGGCTACTTTAACAAAACATCATAAAGTAGATGGCTCTTTTTAAAAGTAAAATTTTATTGTGAAAATACTGTACAGAGGGGTTACAATTAAATGAGCAAGATAATGAGTACATTTCTTATCAAGCATTGCTGCCTCCTCCTTTGTTTTTCCCCTACCATCCCTTCCCTCCCATCTCCACAACTACACACATACACATACCAGCGGCTCATACCTGCAATCCTAACTACTAAGAATCTGAGATCTGAGGATCTCCACTGGAAGCCAGCCCAGGCAGGAAAGCCCATGGGACTCTTGTCTCCAGCTAATTACCATAAAGATAAATAAAAGATTTAAAAAGAAAAAGAGCCAGAGGTGGGGCTGTGGCTCAAGTGCTAGTCTTGAGCACAAAAGCTGAAGGACAGCACCCAGGCTTTGTATTCAAGCCCTAGGATTTGTGCATGCACGCATGTGTGCGCACGCACACACACACACACACACACGCACACACACACACACACACACACACACAGAAGAGGAGGAGAAGGAGGAGGAGGAGGAGGGAGGGGATAATAAACACTTATTTCTCACAGCTTTGGATACTGGGAAGTACATGTTTGGTGAGGGTTCATTGTGTTTAAATGGGCCTTCTAGCTGTGTCTTCAGAATAGGGCGGACTTGAAGGATCTCCCTGGGGTTTATTTAATGACAGCCTGAATCCTGTTCATAGTAACTACAGCTTCATGACCTAATCACCTCATGAGGGCACACTTCCTGATACCAACCCATGGAGAGAATATGCAGACTTTCAGGCCACAGTGGAGAGATGATACAAAAACAGAAGACAATCATTTGAAATAGTGGAAAATCATAATCCTGAATAGTTCCATGATGTGTGTGTGTGTGTGTGTGTGTGTGTGTGTTTCAAGACTGTGTCACTGGGAAGTGTTATAGGATATGAAGCTTTCTAGCATTTCATTTTAGGTCTTAACACCTGTGCCTTTTTCAGAATGGGAGACTTAGATGATGTTGAAGTAGAAGAAGGAAGCTTTGCAGTCAGGTGATCTTGGTTGTATTATCTTCTGGTTCTATGACTCTGTACAACTTAATCTAGGCCTCTGCCTCACAATGTTCTCACTTACCTGTCTCAAGTGAGACAAATATTAAAAATGAAATATGGAAAACATCTGATTAATGGTATAGAAAGCATTTGATTACTGATAGCTAAAACAAATTCTTTGGTACAAAAGGTATGCCTTATTGTAAGATTGTGTCTTGCTTTCATTTTTGTGTGTTTTCAGGCTGGCCTCAAACATGAGCTCTTCCTGCTTCTGCCTCCTGAGGATTATAGGCATGTGCCAGCCCATTTGACCATACATTGTGTTTGGACATTAGGGAGAAATTTTTTTTCTTTTGTCCTTCCTCTCAGTGGTCTTCATGTTAACCTTTATATACTAGTTTGTGAAAGTTCAGAGCTTATGATAGTTCTTCATAACCTGTTCTCATAATGATTGTTAGCTGAATAATTTCCCAGCATTTATCAGTCTTTGAGTTTGAGAATAAAGATTAAAATGACTCCCAGTGTCTAGTAGTACTCATATTCAGAGGTATGATAAAAAAGATGAAACACAAAGAAAGATAAGGAAATAGTGAAGAAATATAATGTCTAGTTTATCTCTGGCAATTTACAACCAAACATGTTTCCATATTGTTTCAAGGATGAATTCAAAGTTGAAACTCAAAGTCACAAGCAAATACTCACTTCTGATTTTTTTTTTGGTGTGGTAATTGTCTTAATTTAAAAATATTGAAAGACCAAGTACATTGTCTCATATCAATAATCCTAGCTACTTTGGAGGCAGACATCAGTAGGTCACTTTCAAAGCCATCCTATGAGGAAACATGTGTTATACTCCACTTCAACTGGACTCCTTGGCACATACCTGTCCTCCAAGCTACAAGAATAAATAGAAGAGATTGTGGTCCAGTCTAGCCTTGGCATAAACCAAAACTATCGCAAAATAACTAATTCAAAAGGGAATTGTGTACTGGCTCAAGTATAGAATGTCTCTCTAGCAAGCTTGAGTCCCTGAGTTCAAACCCGAGTGCCATAAAAATACAAATAACAAACAACAACAATAACAGACAAAAACCACCGGAAAACAAGTTGGGCATGGTTGATCACATCTGTAATACTAGATACTTGGGAAGAGGGGATTGGGAGGATCACAGATTGAGGCCAACCAACTAGGGCACAAAGTTCATGAGACCCTTCCCAACCAATAAAAGTGGGCACTGTGCTGTGTAATTGAACAAATAGGAAGATTGGATTCAGGCTATCCAGGGCTAGCCTAAATCTGATACCTAGCCAAAACATGAGACCCTATCCCATAAACTAATCAAGAAAAACTTAGGGGTATGGCTTAACTGGCAGAGTTCTGGCCTATCAAATAAAAACTTCATTACTGCAACAAGCAAATCCTAAAGACAAATGTTTTCATTTTAAGTCTAGTGAGACATTATTATGACCAACTTAGTTCATAAATTTCCATGACTTTTCTAAGCCCCCAGGGAAAGTTCCCTTTGGTAAGTTTAAGCCCTAGTGGTCATCTGATGTGGGCTACGCTTATGAAAATCAGCTTCCTCATTCCTCCCTTTGTTCTTTTGTTCCAACAAGAGGATTTCAGGGCAAAACCACAGAATCCTTACCAAGAGCAGATTAAGAGGATATTCCCACAGAAGGCTGTGATCACACAAATAGCTCCCAAGGAAGTTGAAAATGCTTTGCAATATACTTCTGTGCAAAGTGTGCTCCTCCCCTCTTCGCTCCCCACCTCTTTGCTGTCAGTCATCTTCAGAAAGCAGAGTTTGGTCCATAGTTGGGCCCTCTCATCTTACTGGGCTGTTTAGTTTTTCACTCTCAACTTCTCGAAATGTTCTTTCCAGAAATATGCCCAACTATTTCAACTGTTTTCATGACCTAATTGTCAATATTTTTCTTTTCCCCCAATCTCAAATATTCCAGATCTGTTGAGGATCATCTTTCCCACCTTGCTGCCTTCTCGAGTGCTATTTGTGATGTTTAACTTGATGATCACCTACTGTTGCCCGGGCTTTCAGCTTTTTAGTTTATTACTCAGTGGTTAGAGGGCCTTCTGAATGTGATAGTCTTTGTTTTATAATCTCCTTTGTCCAGAGTTGAGCTTCTTTTGGAGTAGTTGAATCCTCTTCCTTCAGCCAAGGAGATGTCATTCAACATAGGTATAATTTGAAGTTGGTGCTGTGGTTTGAACCCAAGACCTTGTCTTTGTTCAGCTTACTTATTCAGTTGGCACCCTACGATTCAAACTACACATCCAATCCTTCTTTCTGCAGATTATTTTGAAGATGGTGCCTCACAGAACTTTCTCATAAGGATGGCTTCCAAGAAAGATCCTTCAGATCTCAGCCTCCTGAGTAGCTATGATTACAGGCATGAGTCCCTTAATTCTTATTTATTTATTTTTTTGGTCTGAGTAAGTCTTGGATTGTGATCCTTCTAGTTATGCCTCCAACATGGCTGGAATGACTGGTGTGAACCTCCAATCTACTGTTGTTTGTTAATATGTGGTCTTGTTAATAGTTCTGTTGAGCTAGCCTTGAATGTTGATCCTCTAGTCAGATCTCTCCCTTCTAAGAAGCTGAGATCGTGTACCAGCCAAAGATTTTGTTTTAAAGACTGACACTGGAAGTAGAAGATTTCTTCCATGCTTGTGGATTCATTCCTACTCCTTGAGGCCCTTGAACAATGATCACCATTTATCCTCAATGTCTTTCCAGCCTTTCTCTGTTTATAGTCCCTGCCTGTCTCATAGTCAAGAATCTTTCTTCTATTGTATGCAGATAGTACTTCCTCAAGAAATAGTGCTCATACCATCCAGTAACTCCCTCAAGAAACAGTGGTCTCTGTTTGAAGAAAGCCAATTTTGAAAGGTCCTAGGGTTTATTCCCCAGTCTTTTAGTGACTTAGTGGAGGGCTTGGGAATTAATCCT